TGTCAGGAAACATACCCTTAAAATTTCAGCTTTCTAGCTTGTCCGATTCCCGAGTTAGAGGCTTAGCCGCCAAAAACTTTGATGGGCCCATACGTGGGAACCACGTGGGTAACAGCGACTACTTTGGGAACTGGAGTCCGTACGTGCATGTAGATGAAATTCCCAAAGTTTCAGACCTGTAGCTTTTATAGGTTTTCAGTTGAAAAATCGGTACAGACGCACACACATACACAAATAAACACAGACAACCCCCCGACAATATGTGTTTTTGCATTGCAAAGGGTGAAAAAACTCATAAAAAATTGGCGTGCACAACAAAGCAGATTACATTGAAAGGGAGGTCGGGATAACAAATAACAGCGCCGTTCACTCAGTGTTACTACGTAGTGTTGAAGAACAATGGAATGGCCATCAATAAGATGGAGGAATACCTGGCCAGCCCCAAAAGTTCATTTGGATGCCGCAGGCTCAAAACAAGGAATGGAGGTACTGGTGACGAGAAACACGACGACAGAATCGATGCATCGAAAGAAGGATAGCAGCTTCACATGCTTTGCTCGGTCACTGTCAACTGTACGACAAAAAATGCAGTTACAAACCCTGCCTTTGAAAATCTTTAATCGCTTACCCATCGCCGCCGTTCATCTCTACCTTCCAACCCTTGAAACCATCTTCACCACTTGGATTAACGATCAAATTTCTCCCAAATGGTCGAAGTAATGCAACTTTTTTCATGTTCAATTCCGGGGCGCTTCGCAGTGAAAGCGGAGGTAGTGGAAGTGATCGGTACTTTAAATAACTGATCCAGAAGCCAGGCGCCAATAAAACATTGTGCCATCGACGACAAACCTGAAAGAACTGGAGGACATGGACATGGACTTTACAGTTCATAAACTATAAACCCACTTGGCTCGCGGCGTCAGGACCGCTGCTGAGAACATGCGTTTCTTGCAGTTTTTCTCGCAAATGTTTGCTGCTAAGTGGAACTGTTTTTATGCGCTGTGTAACAGCTGCACAAAACGCATATTGTCACGTGGTTGGTTGTCTGCGTGTGTATGTGTGTGTGTGTATGTGTGTGTGGGTGTGTGTTTGTGTGTGTGCTTGTGTGTGTGTGTATGTGTGGTGTGTGTGTGCGTGTGTGTGTGTGTGTGTGTGTATGTGCATCCGCAGCAACTTGTCTGCAACTTTCAACTCTGGAACTACAAGAGCTAGGAAACTGAAAATTTTGATGTATATTTCCCATCCATGCGTGACCCACAAATTCAAATCCAGCTTTCCCTTATCCGCAGGTAATCGTACGGCCCCGCAA